ATGTAAACACTTGATCTACACATCCCCTACCCACTCTGAAGCCTCCCTGCTTATCTGCAATCCTACAACAGACTTATCCCCCTATAATTTTTGCACTCTCTTTTGTCCCCTTTGCCTTTATACAAAGGAACTATGCATACTCTCTGCCAATCCCTAGGTACCTTACCCTCTTCCATACATTTATTAAATAATTGCCCCAACCACTCCAAAACTATATCCCCACCTGATTTTAACATTTCTATCTTTATCCCATCAATCCCGGCTGCCTTACCCCCTTTCATTTTACCTACTGCCTCACGAACTTCCCCCACACTCACAACTGGCTCTTCCTCACTCCTACAAGATGTTATTCCTCCTTGCCCTATACACGAAATCACAGCTTCCCTATCTTCATCAACATTTAACAATTCCTCGAAATATTCCCTCCATCTTCCCAATACCTCTAACTCTCCATTTAATAACTCTCCTCTCCTATTTTTACTGACAAATCCATTTGTTCTCTAGGCTTCCTTAACTTGTTAATCTCACTCCAAAAGTTTTTCTTATTTTCAACAAAATTTGTTGATAACATCTCACCCACTCTCTCATTTGCTCTCTTTTTACACTGCCTCACCACTCTCTTAACCTCTCTCTTTTTCTCATATACTCTTCCCTCCTTGCATCACTTCTACTTTGTAAAAACTTCTCATATGCTAACTTTTTCTCCCTTACTACTCTCTTTACATCATCATTCCACCAGTTGCTCCTCTTCCCTCCCGCACCGACTTTCCTGTAACCACAAACTTCTGCTGAACACTCTAACACTACATTTTTAAACCTACCCCATAGCTCTTCGACCCCATTGCCTATGCTCTCATTAGCGCATCTATCCTCCAATAGCTGTTTATATCTTACCCTAACTGCCTCCTCTTTTAGTTTATAAACCTTCACCTCTCTCTTACCTGATGCTTCTATTCTCCTTGTATTCCATCTACCTTTTACTCTCAGTGTAGCTACAACTAGAAAGTGATCTGATATATTTGTGGCCCCTCTATAAACATGTACATCCTGAAGTCTACTCAACAGTCTTTTATCTACCAATACATAATCCAACAAACTACTGTCATTTCGCCCTACATCATATCTTGTATACTTATTTATCCTCTTTTTCTTAAAATATGTATTACCTATAACTAAACCCCTTTCTATACAAAGTTCAATCAAAGGGCTCTCATTTTCATTTACACCTGGCACCCCAAACTTACCTACCACACCCTCTCTAAAAGTTTCTCCTACTTTAGCATTCAGGTCCCCTACCACAAATTACTCTCTCACTTGGTTCAAAGGCTCCTATACATTCACTTAACATCTCCCAAAATCTCTCTCTCTCCTCTACATTCCTCTCTTCTCCAGGTGCATACACGCTTATTATGACCCACTTTCGCATCCAACCTTTACTTTAATCCACATAATTATTGAATTTAAAACATTCATATTCTCTTTTCTCCTTCCATAACTGATCCTTCAACATTACTGCTACCCCTTCCTTTGCTCTAACTCTCTCAGATACTCCAGATTTAATCCCATTTATTTCCCCCCACTGAAACTCCCCTACCCCCTTCAGCTTTGTTTCACTTAGGGCCAGGACATCCAACTTCTTTTCATTCATAACATCAGCAATCACTGTTTCTTGTCATCCGCACTACATCCACGCACATTCAAGCATCCCAGTTTTATAAAGTTTTTCTTCTTCTCTTTTTTAGTAAAGGTCTACAGGAGAAGGGGTTACTAGCCCATTGCTCCCAGCATTTTAGTCACCTCATACGACACACATGGCTTACAGAGGAAAGATTCTTTTCCACTTCCCCATGGACAATAGAAGAAATAAAGAAGAACAAGAGCTATTTAGAAAAAGGAGAAAAACCTAGATGTATGTATATATATATGCATGTGCGTGTCTGTGAAGTGTGACCAAAGTGTAAGTAGGAGTAGCAAGATATCCCTGTTATATAGCGTGTTTATGAGACAGAAAAAGAAACCAGCAATCCTACCATCATGCAAAACAGTTACAGGTTTCTGTTTCACAGTCATCTGGCAGGACGGTAGTACTTCCCTGGGTGGTTGCTGTCTATCAACCTACTAAAATAACTTTTAAAAACACTTGAAATTTTGGAGTTTCCAGATATAATGGAGAGACTTAGTGCTTACGGATCTCACAGAGAATGTAAACAAACCGGGTGGGGTGCGGTGACTGTATTAGAAAGTCAGGTGGGGGAGCTGTATAGAGAGTTTTGGTCAAAATTTGAAATGACCGTATTAGCGGAACGCTGTAAAGCGAAACGCCGTAAAGCAGGGCCCTACTGTACATGAAAAATTAAATCAGTATTACATAACTTTATTGAAGACTCTTCTTGGCTTATGAAAGATAGGGAGGAGGAGAGAGGCTTGAGAGTCTCTGTACCCCTGCAACTCAACTTTGCACACATGTCCTTAATTACTGAAGAAGGCACATTCTCCCCTCTCTCTTCCTCCTCCTCTGAAGCAATTTTCTCAGCTGTGTCTGTTGCTGTTCCAGATGAAGGTCTTGCAGCTCTACCTTCTACCACCATCATTACCACCCTCTACCATCACTACCACCCTCTACCATCACTATTACCCACTCCCAGCACTACCACCCTCTACCATCATTACCACCCTCTACCACCATCACTACCACTACCACCCACCATGTTACCCCAACCACCATCACCTTACCACCCTAACCTCACCATCACTAACACCCTGTATCACCATCGCAACCACTACCACCATCACTATCACCTTCTACCACCATCACTTCCACCCTGTACCACCATCACTACCACCCTCTACCACCATCACAACCACTACCACCCTCTACCACCATCACTACCACTCTTTACCACTATCACTACCACCATCTACTACCACCACTCTTGCACTTTGCTACAATTTCTTTTTAATTCCATCATGTTTCTCACTTTCGTTACCAAAAGAACTTTACTAGGAACTTTCTTTGGGGCCATGGATTATAGCAAAACGTCTGGATGAATGAGCAGAAGCTTTCCTCACTCACCCAGAGACACAGCCAGACTGACACGCAAGCAGCTGGCGACGGTGGGTTGACACGTCCCATACAGCCGATAAGTGAAATAACGGCCGATAACCAGAAGCAGAAAAACCAGCCGATAACCGAGTTGGCCGATAAGCGGAACGGCCAATAACCGAGGGTCCACTGTATGACTGTCCATCTGTCTGTGTGTGTGTGTGTGTGTGTGTGTGTGTGTGTGTGTATGTTTGTTTGTTTTCTGTCTGCCTGTGTATCTTTGTCTTTCTGTCTGCCTGTGTACCTCGGTCTTTCTGTCTACCTTTGTGTGTGTGTGTCAGTCTGTGTGTGTCTTTCTGTCTGCCTGTGTGTGTGTGTGTATGTGTCTTTCTGTTTGCCTGTGTGTGTCTTTCTGTCTGCCTATGTGTGTGTGTGTCTTTCGGTCTGCTTGTCTCTCAGTCTCAGGGAGCGGCTCGTAAACAAACAGGTGTTACACACAATGCAGTTGTCACGTCTGATTCCTGATGAAGTGAAAATGCATATTACTGTACTTGCCACTGAGTGGCCAGTCATGCTTATTATGTCTTATATCTACAAGCACTGTATAGCACTTTGCCTGGAATTTTTGTGTTATCCAAGGTAACTTACACTATGTATAATAACTGTACTTATGTGTACATGTGAGAGAGAGACAGAGATATAGACAGCCAAAAGCCAAAGACAGCCAGCCAGCTGGCCGGCTGACCGGCCGAATACGGATTACACATGTTCCAGAATCATTTCTCCTTGCTTAGGGCATGGGTTATAGGACATTCTGGCAGGAAGACACTACCAATGGTATAAAAAATGAAAGAATGTTACACAAATGTTACACATGGGTTATTAACTGATGTTTTTGATATTTCCACGACTGCTTGTGGCCACATCCATCACTTTCCTCTTAAAAGGGGAGTGTTAATACGACAAGACATCAGTGAATCCCCGGTGTTCACGACGCTATTTGCTCTAGCTGGCGCTCAATTGAACTGGTGCTCCCACAAGGTACTAAGTGGTCCCTGATTTTTGTAATACTACACATACCGAGTGTTAAGACCCATTCTATACTGACCAGGCATCTCAGGCCAATTATGCCAAATTTGGAAGCAGGAAAAATAAAATGTAGATCCACATTTGGCACCCTAGCGGTATAAACGTAGATCTACGTTTGGACAGTTTAAGGGTTAATATACACACTACTGTAGTCGCCTCTTACAACAAGCATGGCTTACGGAGGAAAGATTCTTTTCCACTTCCTCATGGAGGACCCCCTATTTCCATCCACCCCAAATTTATAAACTTTCTTAGTCATCCTATTCTACTTCATCCTCTCTAAATACCCAAACATACATCAACAACCCCCTCGCTCTAAAATTATATCTTTCATAACGTTCACACTAATTTAAACAATGAGTTGTCTGCATTACGTTCAAGCCATGCAGTGCTATCTAACTAAGCATCTCCACTGTCTCTGGCTTCTTTTTCCTCACTGCAATTATTTATCTACATATTCCTTTGACATAATATTTACACTTAAGACAACTGCTGATGCCATCTGTGATGGCTTTCATTTTGCATGTCTGATTTTCTTTCTTGCTTTATATCTTTTCTAGCATTATTTTAGTTTTCTCTTCTTGTGCTACTGGTTTATCCCTGTTTAATGTTTCCTCAACTTTATTCAGTTAATGTTTTCCTCACTCTTACTGGTAGTAACACAGTATTATACCATTTCACTCTTGCTAAACTGTTTGTAAAGCTAAAATGCACTCAAATTAAGCTTCCAGAAAATAGTATCTTCATATATTTTATACAAGAGAATTTGGGCTTCTTTACAGTGGAGAGTATTTGCAAGAAAACTTGATTACTGAACCACAATGAAAGAACATAATGAGAAAGAAAACAAAATCACACACCAACTTACATTACAGGAGTGATTGATGAAACGTGCAAGATTACCACACTTAGTAGCATCAATGATGGTTTCCATGTCAATCCGAAAGAGGTAAGATGATCCAATGCCAATTTTCTCATACTGGATTTCTCTTAGATCAGCAATAATGGATCGTATACTTTGGCCAACGTATTCAATGACCATCTCGTCTGGGCCGATTGCTTCCATTGCAAACAATCCCCAGTCATGAATACGTGATTTGCCAAACCTCAGGAGTTTCTTACGAAACTAGAAAAGAAAAAATAGAATGTTATCAAGTGATATGTAGATAAATATCAGAACAAAACTTTCAAGTGTAACACATATATAAATAGACTCTGAATAAATTATCACTTGCCACAGACTAACTCTAAGAAATGTAAAACACTATACAGTATTGAACATTCCCAGCCATAATCTGTCACTTGCACTACTATCATAAAAAGGTGTGATAATTATCTTTTCTTGTTTATTAAAAAACTTTTTATTCAGTTTCCGTGTCTTGTGTTCTATTTTCTCAAACACAATATTTTCTAAGAAAAATTATTTTTTATCACTTACAAAACTATATTAAAAAACCATTATATACAGAAAAAAATTTTTTTTTTTAATCATAATACGGTGGTACCTCAAATTTCGAACAGCTCCCATCTTGAACAATTATGTAAGTGTATTTTTGTAAGTGCTTTTTTAAGTGTATTTTTGGGGGTCTGAAATGGACTAATCTAATTTACATTATTCCTTATGGGAACAAATTCGTTTGGTAACGGCACTCGAACAGCATTCTGTAATGAATTATGGCCGAAATTCGAGGTACCACTGTATTTATATATCATAGTAAGAAAAGCAAAAATCCTTAAGACACTGCATAGCTAATGTTCAACCCTTTATCTAACTACAAAGATGAATAGAAAAGAAATTAATTTACTTTGAGCTGATTAAACTTGAGCAAATCAGAATCTGTCTCATTGCCAAATGCTGTAAGAAGTCTTCTCTGGAAGGAGCGCACTTCCCTGCTCACAGCCATCTGGGTAAGCTTAGCCTTGCTAGACTCCAGCACTGCAAGGCTCTGTTGCTGTGGGTCCTCAGCAGCTCTCTCTGTGTGGTCTTGATGGAATGTAAACTGAAAGCACATCTTTTGTTAATTGCATGAAAAAGTGAAATGCTATGAAAGATACTCTTCTATTTTAAAATAAAGAGCACTTTCCATTGAAATTCTTGGTCATTATTTACTTAAATAAAGTTTAATGAGATAGGTTTCATGAATTCTACTAATCAAATATGAATACATTATACAGTACTGAACATGCAAATGAATGAAGGGATTCAGGGAAACCGGCAGGCCGGACTTGAGTCCTGGAGATGGGAAGTACAGTGTCTGCACTCTGAAGGAGGGGTGTTAATGTTGCAGTTTAAAAACTGTAGTGTAAAGCACCCTTCTGGCAAGACAGTGATGGAGTGAATGATGGTGAAAGTTTTTTTTTTCGGGCCACCCTGCCTTGGTGGGAATCGGCCAGTGTGATAATACAAATTTCGCTGAGAATCAGAAAAAGTTTTGGAGTGAGATTACCAGGTTAAGAAAGCCTCGAGAATGAATGGATTTGACAGTTAAAAAACAGAAAAGGAGCTGGAGGTATTGGGAAGATAGGAAAATTTTAAGCTGTTAAATGTTGATGAAGAAAGGAATACAGTGATTTCAAGCAGTGGACAGGAAGGAATAACATCCTTTAGGAGTGAGGAAGAGCCAGTTGTGAGTGTGGGGAAGGTGCATGAGGCTGTGGATAAAATGAAAGGGGGTAAAGCAGCTGGGATTGATAGGATCATGTCAAATGTTAAAAGTGGGTGGGGATATAGTTTTGGAGTGGGTGGTACTTTTGTTCAATAAATGTATGAAAGAGGGAAAGGTACCTTGGGATGGCAGAAAGTATGCATAGTTCCTTTGTAAAAGGGAAGGGGATAAAAGAATGTAAAAATTATAGGGAAATAAGCCTACTGAGTATACTAGGGAAAGTGTATGGCAGGGATATTATTGTGAGAATTAAGCCTTTCACTGTCAAGACCCCTGCTCACAAACTTGCTTTCAGTGTCGAAAAAAAAAAAAAATCTTATGAAATGATAGAGAGAATCTTTTCCCGATGGTAATGACAACAAAAGTATGAAATTTGATGGAAAACTTATGGAATTACACTTTTGTGAAGTTAGCAGTCTCAGCGATAAATCCACATCGGCGATTTCGCCCATACGTATTTTCGGCCAATTCCATCGTTCCAGTCGACCAAGCTCAAAGCTATTTTGCAAGAATTCCATTTGTTCTATCGACTGAGTACAAGCAACCACCCATTTACCGATTTCAACTACCCAATAAAATGGCCAGAAATTGGCAATTTGACCAATTTCACACAAATTTCAAAAGATGCCAATTTCAAAATAGGGTCCGGAATAAACAATGCAGACATTCCTGGCACTAAAATAACATTTTCTCTGTTCATTAGCCATGTCTCCAGGCCCCACCTATATTACTCTTCCTTTCCCTTTTGAATTTTTATTAACACAAAAAATAGAAGATTTACTGTTATGCAGACTACTGCATTATTGTATCAACCCATTCGTGACTGCATATTAGACTGGCCGGTTGGACACATATTGGACAGTGATGTCATTTGTTTACTCTTTAACACTGACAAAAATCGAACGTTCCCGCTACTTTGAGCTCAATTTCAAGGTACATTGGAACCTTGGTTTTCATATGCCCCAGCTTGCATGTAAAACCACAGTTATTCTCCATAAAATATAATTTTTGCTAATATTTTTGGAAGACTGAAATGCATTAATTGGATTTACATTTTTTCTTGTGGGAAATATTATCAAAAAATACATTTTATGGAGAATAACTGCAGATGTTGCAGGTGTATGGTATAGGAGGTAGGTTACTGAAAGCAGTGAAGTTTTTATGAGGATAGTCAGGCTCTGGTTAGAGTATGTAGGAAAGAGGGAGATAATTTCCCAGTAAAAGTAGGCCTTAGACAAGGATGTGTGATGTCACCGTGGTTGTTCAATATATTTATAGATGGGGTTGTAAGAGAAGTGAATGCGAGGGTCTTGGGGAGAGGTGTGGAGTTAAAAGATAAAGAATCAAACACAAAGTGGGAGTTGTCACAGTTGCTTTTTTCTGATGACACTGTACTCTTGGGAGATTCTGAAGAGAAGTTGCAGAGGTTAGTGGATAAATTTGGTAGGGTATGTAAAAGAAGAAAATTAAAAGTGAATATAGGAAAGAGTAAGGTTATGAGGATAACAAAAAGATTAGGTGATGAAAGATTGGATATCAGATTGGAGGGAGAAAGTATGGAGGAGGTGAATGTATTCAGATATTTGGGAGTGGACATGTCAGCAGATGGGTCTATGAAAGATGAGGTGAATCACAGAATTGTTGAGGGGAAAACAGTGAGCAGTGCACTTAGGAGTCTGTGGAGACAAAGAACTTTGTCCTTGGAAGCAAAGAGGGGAATGTACGAGAGTACAGTTTTACCAACGCTCTTATATGGGTGTGAAGCATGGGTGATGAACGTTGCAGCGAGGAGAAGGCTGGAGGCAGTGTAGATGTCATGTCTGAGGGCAACGTGTGGTGTGAATATAATGCAGAGAATTCATAGTTTGGAACTTAGGAATAGGTGAGGGATTACCAAAACTGCTGTCCAGAGGGCTGAGGAAGGGTTGTTGAGGTGGTTCGGACATGTAGAGAGAATGGAATGAAACAGAATGACTTCAAGAGTGTATAAATCTGTAGTGGAGGGAAGGCGGGGTTGGGGTCGGTCTAGGAAAGGTTGGAGGGAGGGGGTAAAGAAGGTTTTGTGTGCGAGAAGCTTGGACTTCCAGCAAGCATGCATGAGCGTATTTGATAGGAGTGAATGGAGACAAATGGTTTTTAATACTTGATGTGCTGTTGGAGTTTGAGCAAAGTAACATTTATGAAGGGATTCAGGGAAACTGGCATTCTATCAAATGAACTTCCATTCTATTAAATGAAACTAAGAAAATGAGAATTTAACCATAAATACTATACAAAAATACACCTCAGAGTTGGAGTTTTAAACCAAAAACACGAACAGAGTTTTTTTCTCATTATGTGCTGCATGCTGCAGGATTTTTTTTATACTGCGCGCATTGACCACACAGAACCTTTCTCTCACATGTAGGTCTACCAGCTTTCTCCCGCTAGATTTGAAGCTGCTAGGATTTTGGTGTATTAACACGGCACCAACACTGGCTTGTAAGCCATACTAATACAGCACTAACAGTGGAAGGGTTAAAGGCAAGACTACTGCATTAGTGCAGAAATGGTATAAATAATATCAGCACACTTGTGAAAGAATATTAGACTCACCAGTTGACGTGTATTGGACACTTGGCATGATTTGTTTACTTTTGATCTTTGGTAAAAATAGAACATTTCTGCTAATTTGAGCTCAATTTCAAGGTACTTTTCATTGTAAAATCAGTCAAAATCATCTCAATTTCTGTAATATGTCTTCCATTCTATAAAATGAGACCAGGAAAACTAGAATACAACAATAAATACCATACGAAAATACAGTGCAAAGTCGCTGTTTTAATCCAAAAACACGGTCAAAGTTTTTTTTTTCTCATTATGCACTGTGTGCTGCAGGATTTTTTTTATACTGAGCACACTGACCACATAGACCCATTCTTTCATATGTAGGCCTACCAGCTTTCTCTCACTAGATTTGACGGCGCTAGAATTTATGCGTACTAGTACATGTACGTCAAAAACCCCTGTGCCTAAGCCGTACTAGTACGGCCGAAACCCTGAAAAGGTTAAGCTGCTGGTAAAGTTGTTCAATGGAGGGCATCTTGGTTCAGTCCACAGGGAGTACACTAGACACGTCCTCACCAACCCACCAACAGAATATTTGCCCAACCCTATTTAGTTCTACCCTAACAATAAGCTCTGATAAATCCACTAACACATGTGCAAGTCCCACTCGAATCCAACCCCTTTCACTCATGTATTTATCCAACCTAAATTTGAAACTACCCAAGGTTTTACTTTACTTTTTATGCTGTTAGTATGAGTAGCTTCTTCAGTGAATATTAACCCCTTGACTGTCGCAACCCCAAATCCTGAGTTGTCTCCTGGTGTCGCAAAATTCCCCCCCCCCCCAAAAAAAATGTTATTTTTTTCTTATGAAATGATAGAGAATCTTTACCCAATTGTAATGACACCAAAAGAATGAAATCTGATGGAAACTGGCAGAATTACGCTCTTGCAAAGTTAGCAACCTCAGCGATAGTTAAGAATCGGCGATTTCGCCCAATTTGAGCCCTATTTTCGGCTAATTCCATTGTTCCAGTCGACCAAACTCATAGCTATTTTTTTCTATCGACTGAGTACAAGAAACTGCCCATTTACCGATTTCAACTACCCAATAATGTAATCAGAAATTTGCAATTTGGCCAATTTCACGAAAATTAAAAAATATGACAATTTCAAAATAGGGTGCAGAATGAACAATGCAGACATTCCTGGCTCTAAAATAACATTTTCTTTGTTCATCAGTCACATCTCCAGGCCCCTCTGATATTACTCTTGCTTTCTATTTAGAATTTTTATTCAAACAAAAAATAGAAGATTTACTGCTATGCAGACTACTGCAATATTGTAATAATTGTATAAATAATCTCAAACCATTCATGACTGCATATTAGAATGGCTACTTGGACATTTATTGGAAAATGACATCATTTGTTTACTTTTGAACATTGGCAAAAATCAACATTTCCCCTAATTTGAGCTCCATTTCAAGGTTCTTTTCATAGTAAAACTAATCAAAATCACCTCTATTTCTATAATATGTTTTCCATTCTATCAAATGAGACCAAGAAAACGAGAATACAGCCATAAATACTATACAAAAACAGATCACAAAGTTAGCATTTTAATTAAAAAACAAGTCAGAGTTTTTTTTTCTCATTATGCACTGCGTGCTGCAGGATTTTTTTATATGGTGCACACTGACCACACAGACCCATTCTCTCATATGTGGGCCTACCAGCTTTCTCCTGCTTGATCTGAAGCCACTAGAATTTATGAGTATATATACG